TGGAACTTCACCGTCGACTGCAGCTCCACCACCTTCTCCGGTAGGCTCTCGCTCATGGCGCAGACGTGGGGAACTTGCCCATACGATGCATGTGCGGCCCCACGAGACGCGGCACCAGCTTGATGATCGACTCAGAGCAGAGGAATGCGTCGTACTGGTTGCACATCTTCTTCACCAGCTTCTTGTTCTTGTTCAGCTTCTTCAGCTCCTCCTGGTTCATCGTCGGGACGTTATTCTTCTTGGCGACGTCCTCGTGGACGAGATCGCAGAGCAGGCAGACCGTCATGCGGGGACGGCAGACGTGCGGCAGCCGCACAGAGCCGGAAAAACGCTTGTCCTTCTGCGGGTCGTAGTTCTTGAGGTTCACCTGCAGGTCAATGCTCTCCTTGAACTTGCGCTCCTTGCGGGTGGTGAGGACGGCCTGGATGGCCTCTGAAAGCTGCGCGGGGAGGATCTTCGACATGGGTTTGTAGTAAGTCAGCTAAAAGTGACGATGTTGAGGCGTGTTTGGTTGGTTGGAAAAAAGTATATGCGGGGGTAAGTAGGGAAACTGGACTCGGCTTCTTTTTCCTACGAATCTTCCTTTAGCAAATTACGTTTTCCTCCGTGGCTCCTGTGGCTGGCAATAGCACCTACACACAAAAAAAAAAAAAACAAGCCATAAAGCGAACAAAGCATAAAGTCCCCATCAGGGTCACAAAGCTTCAGCGTATTTTCTCTCTATTTCTCTATCAGACACCCGCGCACTTTCTTTCTGTCATGGGTATCGTTTTTTGGCTAGTTTTTTTTTTTTTTTGTACGTCTGGCATCCAGAAGACATAAAAGATAATGACTAGTGAATCTTGATTGACCTGGAGAGGTGTGGGCGTTGGAACTCGCAATATACTCTCTCACCTTCCTCAATCGGCCACCTGCTAATAAAGTTTAACGTTTGCCAAAAGCAACGCCATCCGACCACTCAGATACAAAGAAAAGGAAAAAAAGAACAAGGAACAACAAAAACATAATAGTTTTGTGTTTATCACATCAACGGATGTATAACGACGCGGAAAACTCCCATCCGTATCCACGCGGCAGCTACATGTTTGTTTGCGTTTTTTCTCCTTCATGTTCCTGCGTCTCCTGCAATCTCATCAGCTTTCCCACAAGCTCATCTACCGTAGGCGACAAAGGACGTTGTCCTAATAAACGCTCTAAGTCCGCCGCCAATAGTTCCTTCTTGTCAATGAGCTCGGCTACCACCGCCTCTATCTTGGTTTTATTTGCCTTGATAATCTCCACAGCAATCTGATGAGCGAGAGCGACAAGCTTTTTAGCTTCTTCCTCTGCAATGTTTTGAGCCTTGTTCGAGAAACTCACAAAAATGCGACCTGCCTGCGTGGACTCTGGGTGGTATGACAGCAAGCCAGCCTTAGCATCCATGCCAAAGGCCATCATTTGCTTAAGTGCAAGATCTGTCGCACGCTGAAGGTCGTCCATGGCTCCGGCAGACTGATCCCTCAATAGCGTCTCTTCGGCGGCGCGCCCGCCGAGCATGACGACCATGTCTGCCAAGAGGGTGGCGTTCGTCTGATATTCGTGGTGCTCGGCACCTGCGCGTTGAGTGTATCCCATGGCGTTACCACGAGGCACAACGCTGATCTTTAACACCCCCTTCACGGAAGGAAGCATCCATGCGGTTATCGCGTGGCCTGCTTCATGAATAGCGGTCCGTCGCAAAGACAGTGAACTCCGTCGATTGCGATGCTTGCGGCCTACAAGTGTATTGTCTATCGCCTCAAGCATGGATTCCTTATCCACAAGCCTCTTCTCGTGAATGCCACTTTGCAGGGCCGCCTCATTTACAATCGTCGCAATCGTCGCAGGTGAAATGCCAGGAGTCAGGTCGGCCAACTCCCTTGCCAGCTCAAGATTGTCCATTTTCTCGTTTAATGGTAGAGATTCACCCTCTTCGTCCACCCTCCGCCCACGGGGATCACCGGTTCCTACACGATCCAAATAATGCTTAAAGATCTCCACGCGTGCCGCCTTGTCCGGCATCTCAATGTTTACCTTCCGGTCAAAACGCCCCTCGCGCAAGAGCGCTTTATCAATGTTGTCCTGAAAGTTAGTTGCAGCCATCACAATGATGGCATCAGTGCCTGTACTCAGTCCATCCAGCTCCGCCAAAAGCTGGTTGATCGTTCGATTCTCTTCACTGCTCACGGCGCCACCCTGTTTCCCCGCCCGGGAACCAATAGCGTCAATTTCATCAATAAATACGATGGCTGGCGCCGAGTTTCGCGCCTCCTCAAATAACTCACGCACGCGCTTGGGTCCACTACCTCCCATCAGCTCAATAAAGTCGGATCCGCTGCAGCTAAAGAAGGGCACATTCGCCTCCCCAGCCACAGCTTTGGCCAGGAGCGTCTTCCCTGTTCCAGGCTCACCGGTGAGCAAACATCCTTTTGGTAGCCGAGCGCCGAGTCGCGTAAACTTGTTCGGTTGTGTCAAAAATTCAACGTACTGCTGCACTTCCATTTTTGCCTCAGGAATGCCAATCACATCGCCAAACTTGGTGCCTTTGACATCGACGCGGAACTGGCGCTTTTTAATGGGCATCAGTTGTTCCAACATGCCTTCAAACGGGTTCGCTGTGGCGCCGGCAGGCGCTTGGCGCCGCAAGTACACCCATGCAATTGCAAAAGGCAGACCAAACCAAAGAATCGGTCCAACACTCGAACGCACCCAGTTATCCTCTGTGCGGGAACGGTGACGTTTTGCATCCTCCATGCCCCGCTTGTACTCCGGGTTATCGATACCTGACATCTCTTGACGCCTTCTTTGCAACGTTTTGTCGCTGCTTTGATTTTTATTTCCTGGCACCGACAAAAAAAAAAAAAAAATACCGAAACGCATTTAAAAAAAAAGAACAGCAACAATCACGTCATGACATGAACAGGAAAAAAACATATGAAATGGTAAACAGTGAAGCCAGAAAGTCCTGACAGATTGTTAAAAGCACAATACACACACAGCAAAAAAAGACGCGTACACTCATATATTTATTATACATGATCAGCAGCAACAACACAAAGGGAAAGTGAAGAAATCTGGCCTGCATCTTCCCATCTTTCGTCTGATGCTCACGTACGCATATGCATCCAGCAATCCCAGCACGCATAAATTCACTTGCAATCTTAGTAAACGCTATTTCCGGCCTATGATGTCCGCAGCCATTTGAGCAATCCCTTGCAACGGCACTCGTCGTCCTTCGTCCCCCATCAGAGGATGTGACGTCTTCTGTGGATTATTGCTCAAAAGGTATGCTGCGAGGAAGGCCAATGGATCAGCAGGCCGTGTCTTTGCCACCTCCTCCAGCCCCCGCAAAAGCAGCGGAAGCACAGTGGCCTCAAGGTACTGCTGATCAGGCAAGGCGTAAACAGGCACAGCAGGAATAGAGGGGGGGTTGCGAAGGTGTGCCACGAGGCGCTCAAGCATTACATTGTCGTCCACGCCTGCGTCCTTCTCACTCATTCTAGTGCGGCACGGTGTGTTTATCTTCCTTCGTAGTGTAATGTTCCGCCTTCAATGGGAGGGATCTGGCTCCTTGTTTTTTTTTTGCCGTTGAGTCACCCTCTTCCAATGAGACACAGCAAAAAAAAAGACAGGAACAAGAAACAAAGAAAAAGACGAGATGCGTGACAAAAGCATTTCCTCCACACAACAGCGGGGGCAGAAAGGCACCAAGGGCCCTTCCCCCCTTCCCGCCACCCAGCACACCCAATAGGAAGCTGAGGGTAAGGAAGAAGAAAAGCCCACACACATGGGCAAGCAAAACAAAAAAGAAAACACTGAACAACAAAAAAGTTGCTGTGGTAATTAAAAACAAATAAATGTGTCGCGATTCTGTGATTCCCAAAAGTTTCAGGCTCCGGAACTGCATCTGCTTAGTGGTCAGGCTTCTTGCGGAAGCCACAGCCAACTGTCAGCATTGCCTTGCCTCCCGTGGGGCGACAGAGCTTGGTGGCGCAGCCGTTGCACTGCACCTCCGATGTGGCGTGGCTGTACACGACCGTCACAGCATTGCAGCCAGGGCACTTCACGTCCATAAAGTAGGCGTTAGGGCCCTGCACCAAGCGGCGGCGCTTGTGCTTCATGCGCTCGGAGCGCACCGTCGGGTAGCTGAGATCAGAGTCGAAGAATCCCATTGCTTCTTCGTCACCTCACCACACACCTTAATATTCCTTCGCAAAGAACGACGAAGGTACTAGTGCCCGCTTATACGTTTTGGGTTCCCCTTGCGAAGGCCACACAAATCACTGCAGTGTGTGTTTGTGTTTGATAAGGAGAGAACAAAGCAAGAAGCGATGAGGAATAAGAAGAAAAAAAAGAACGAAAAAAACCTGTAAAGGGTCGCCCCATCATGAGTAGCACGAACAGAATGCACTTTCAACACCGTAAAAAGAAAATGCACAAGACATATTCAAGAAAAAATCGTCATGGCCAGAACAAATAAATACACGCAAACATGGAGGAAGAGTAGAGGGCAAGCAAAAAAAGGTGTGTGACTGAGCTCACCACAAATCTATACCTCTTTCATCAAATAGACACGACACTGAACAGCAGCAGCGACAGGAAGCAACATCCAGTACTGGCGTGCAAAGCGTTCTTCTCGGAAGCCACACATAAAGTTCATCGGTTTTTTTTGTTTTTTTTTATTTATTTATTTTTTTACACCAAGTTTTTTTTTTTGTTTCGTTCTCTTCATAAGTCATCCTCCACTTCCCCCCTCCCCCCCCACCCCCTCTTTTTTTTAGTTGGAGTTTCATGTCATAGGGAAGAGGGTACAACACATGCGGGCACGCAACAGCACAACCAAAAAAAAAAAAAAATGCACAAAATTACTTTAGCACCAGAAGGATAATTTACGGCAGTTCAGAAAAGGTGAACAAGTTTTTTTTTTTAAAAAAAAAGTGAAATTCCTAACTCACGGGTTCCCCAGCTTTGTCGCTCACATGTTTATTCATGAAAAGCAAAACTCTTTTTTCTCCATCCCTCTCTCTTTACTCTTCATATGTATAGCCACCCTATTCCCTTCTATGAGCCTCGTGGCAGCTCACACACACACGCTCTAGAGAACCGTTCCTTTTAACTGCTAGCTGGTAAGAAGAACACGCACCACAAAACACAAATCCGCATGCCCGGCAATGATGTCGGCGCCGTGTGAGGTTAAAAGGCAAATGACACCTATTACACTCCTTTGCGGCTTCATCCTCCTGCCACTGAATATCGTCACCGGAGTCTTCAGAATCCTTTTTTGTGTTCAGTGGTGGCCGTGGTTTGTATTGTGAAGGACGCTCAGTGGTGCACATATCACACTTTTCCTTTGCGATGGCATTTTGATATGTGCAGGTCGGACACGGCCACGCCCTCGCGACGTCAGCGTCACGCGACTCATCTCCAGATTTTTTCTTCGCCCTGTCATTGGTTCTGGGTGGGGCAAGGTGGCGTGGACGCTGCCCACTCTGACACGCATCACACACGGCACTGCTAACAGGATTCTCTAACGTGCACACCGAACACTTCCACGTTGTAGAAGCCGTCTCTGTTACAGTTTGTGGCGTGGGTCCCGGGTCCATCACAGGTGTACCGTTGCTCTGGTAGCTGCTACAACCTACACAACGTGCCGCATTGGCGGCGTTCTTATTGCCACAAATTCCACACAGCCAGGCCGATGGTGGCATAGGAACACCTGGCGTAGCACCTGTGCCTTTTGCATCAACTCCAGTAATAGGCGTGCCGTTTTTTTGGTAACTGCTGCATACTTTGCAACGGGAATGATGGGCCTCATTTGGTGCCAAACAAATACCACACACCCATGCCGTCGGTCCAGCAACTCCTGACTGCACCCCCGTAGTCTTTGAAGATGAGGTGAATGACGAATGTGCATCACTGTGCGATGTAGATGGTGGGGCAACATTAGAAGGGGGAAGGTACCCTGGGCGATTCGAACCGCACATTCCACATCGGTTCACATCCAGCGCATTCCTGTATGTACAGGAAGAGCAACCCCAGGTTTCGAGTTCCTCCTGTTTTTTGCGTTCTCGTTCACGCTCTTTTTCTAGTTCCTTACGAAGTTGAATGATCTTCTCCAACTGTTTACGGTCCTCTTCCTCTTGTGCAAGCACAGAACTTTCCTTACTGACTATAGGCGTCATCACCGCGGTTTCGGATTGAGACGGCGGAGGCACAGAGGACACGACAGAACTTCTTACAGTTTGTGGGATTGAAGGAGCATCCGGTACTCCCAGGGACGCTTGGTATGAAGGACCATGATGCACTGGGGTTGAGGTGGGTTCCGCGTAATAAGCTGTTTGTGCTGAAAGTGCAGCTGATGGCCCACCGGGCGGAAGAGATGAGGAAGGCAGCTTATGCCCGTTTTCGCCGTACGACTGAGGGGCATGTGAAGGAAGGTAATGGGTTTGATAAGGCACGGCCGCGGCGGGCGCATAAGTAGTCACCTCAAACGGCTGCATCGGTGGCTGCATAGGTGGCGGTGGTGGTGGTGGTGGTGGTGGTGGTGGTGGTGGTAGTGGTTGTGTCGCCGTTGGATTCATACCAAATGGATCTTGCTGCATCCACACAGGTGGTGGTGGTGGATCGCTCGGTGGCGGTGGCGGCACATAGGTTGGACCTCCGTGTTGCTGTTGCTGCTGACGAGGTCGTGTGTCAAAAAGTTCATCAAGGTCAAAGTTCATCCCGTATACGGTGAATGTCCCTTTTGGGCTGGTGATGCTCCGCAAATCCCGGTCCTTACTCCTACTCTTTCAAAGCCACTTTTATGTGCTGACGCTGCTATTGTACACAAATAAATAAGCCTGCCACATACATCCATACATATGCAGCCAGAGAGACATGGAAACAGCAACAACAAGCGGAATATGAAAAGGAACCATAACCGCAGCCATAGTCAAAAAAAAATTGAAAAAAGGGGAAAAAGTGAGTGCGTTGCTTCCGCAAACAAGGCCGACAAGAATGGAGCAATGGAGACAAAAAACAAAATCAACTTTCGCGTCACCCGTAGCTTTACGCTTGGGCGGGCGCGATCACTGCACCCCACCATTCCCAGAAAATAAGCAAGCAAAAAAAAAAAAAGGACAGGCAGAGACAAATCTCAAAAAAAGAAAAAAAAAGATAACAAGATCTCCAAGGCAGATAAAGAAAAGGGTAAGATATGAACTGCCCAAGCCTCGCAACAGTACGACTCGGTGCCACACATCCCTTATGCGCTCTCTGAGGGATTTACTTTGCATCCACTATTCTTGTAGGCAAACGAGTGGAACATTATTACCATTATTAAGGAGCAACAACACCTTCGTGAGAAGCACTAGATTCATTAACAACAGCCGCTTTTAGCGTGGGTGCCGCCGTCGTCACGTATTGTCCCCAATCTTGCGACCCATGCGCTACTGGCGCGTCCGTCACCGCTGTTTCCTCCTGCCGTAAGCTCCGCTGCCGCTTCCTTTGCACGCCTCGTTAGTATGCCATCCACCAAACCTCCAAATGCTTCATGCACATTTTGTCCCTTCTTTGCAGACGTATGCAAAAATGTTATGCCTTTCGCACGACAGATTTCTTCGGCGTGATGCACACTTTCCCGTTGTCTATCGGTCAAAACGGCATCGCATTTGTTCCCACAGACAACAATAAATTCGGTACTGTTATTCATATGGGGCAGTAGCTCGGGCAGCCAAACCGCCTCAAGCTCGTCAAAGGATTTTACCACAGTCTCGTCAAACACAAGTAACGCCCCCGCAGCATGGCGAAAATACATTGGGGCCATCGCGCGGTATTTTTCCTGTCCGGCGGTATCCCACACCTCTACCCGAACACTTGATTTGTGCGCGTTTGAATAAAGCTGCTTAGAGAAGAATGCTGAGCCAACTGTTGTGTCTTGGCATTCGTCAAAGGCATCCGTGATGAAACGTTTCGTTATCGACGTCTTCCCAGCGTTGCTAGGGCCGCAAAGCACAATCTTAATAGACGACACACGCGCCTCAGATGCCATTTTCCCTACCTCTGCTCCTTATTTTTCTTCAGAGAATTGGATGAAGTTTCCCTTTTCCTTTCCTTCTTGGTGGTGTTACCTTTATTCCTGCCGCAGTGGGACACCTCTGCCTCTCTCTGACCTTCCCTCCCTTTTATATCTATCCGACACAGATAGAAAATGAGGGAGGAAACCTCGCAAAAAATAGCAATAATAATAATAATAATAATAATAATAATAATAGAGAAGCAACATACCGTGGCAATATGAAAGAAAACTTGGCAGAAGCAGGAACCACGGCGACAGCAGCAACTGCAGTGATGAAGAAGTTGACACCAAAAGGGGGAAACCAAAACAAGAAAGAAGAACCAAAAAGCAATTGGTCCTCATGTCCTCTTTCTGTAAACACGCAGCAGTAAGAAGGGGGAGGGAATAAAATGGGGATGGGTGAAAGATACCCGAAGCATGCGTAGCACAACTCCACGTCCCTTTCTACTTTTCACTACCCCGCGCAAAGGAAAGAGACACATAAACATACAGAGATCAATAAAAGGAATCACGCAGCAGCACACCACCCACATGTTGTTCCCACCCTCCCCGTCAGCTCACAATGGCCACGCACAGACACGGGAAACACACACACACATACACACAAATACACACACACATAAATAGAAATAGGAGCGAGGGTATGGGATGAGTGACAAAGACACTTAAGCGGTCATATCCCTGTTAGAAAGCACAATATATACGAGGAAGAGGTGAAAACAAAAACTAGATGGAACAAAACGCGGGAAACAACAAGTAGACCGAAATATATATATATATATATATTTGTCAAAGAAAAAAAAACGACAAAAATAAAAAAGTAAAAGTAACCTGCTTCCCTTCACATGCACAAAATGTAGTAAGTCACATGAAAAGTGGTTTCCTTTTTTTTTCTTTTTGCTACTGTATCTTTCTTATTATTATTATTTTTTTTTTACAGTACTTCTGTTCCTTCCGTTCGCGCTTAAAAGCAGCCGCATCTACGCGTTACGTATCATTCAAAGAAGAGACAAGGATCGTGTCTTTCGTCAAAGACAGCTCCCGCGTCAACTCCTTGCACCTTGATCGTTTCACACAAAAATACACGCACAAACAAAAAACAAAAAACAAAAACAAAAAACAAAAAAAACGTGCCCGGAAGGGAAAACTGTTTTCTATTTCCCCCCCTTTCCGCTCACTTCGTTCGGGCGCCCCGTTAGAAGCATTCCTCTACGTTGAGTTTCGTCGCCGCAATCATGGGGAACACCGGGCTGTGACCCTTCAAGTATTCCCCCCGCCACCCCTTTCAAAACTGTATCCTGACACGTGTGTCACGAGGGAGGGGTGAGAGCGCCATACCGGGCATTGACATGTTTTGTGGTGCTGTCAAAAACGCAGAGATGCATTCCACTCCCCCTCGTCTCCTCCACCAACATCGCAGCTCACGGCGCGGGATTCACTCTCTCCCACCGAAACAAAGGAAATCCACATGCGCAACAGAGATAGCGAAAAGTAAGCAAAATGGCATATATAAATATATCTTTGGAGGGAGACTGCGCCACATGAAAAAAAAAAAAAACGAAGGCAGGACACCAACACAACCACACACAAAGACACCTCAAAGGAAACAAACCAAAAATGGAAAAATGAATCAAAAACAAAAAAGATACGCTTCGGTAATAGGGAAACACGCAAATACAAATAAAATCAAAGAAAAGAAAAATAGACACAAAAATAAAAGAAACATGTCACCCTTCTTGGTTACCTTTTTTTTTCGCCCTCATTTTTTTTGTTTTTGATTTTTTATTCACTCCTAGTTTTCTTCTTTGCATCAGCCCGCAATTTCCCTTTGGCACACGGCCTCATAGAGAAATATTTTCGTTGTCTCGTCTTGTATTAAAACACGCACACGCGCACACAGTAGTGGGGTCAGTTTTTTTTAAAAAAAAATGATGCAAAAATAAATGCGTATGGAGGTAACTTCATTTATATTTTATATGTTTATCTAAGTTGGGGGCACACTCAATCCCTAACAAACTGTGATCCCGCCTTTGCACAGGGGGAATTATCTCACAGTTGTAGAAAACCAACGGCACAAAAGCGCCTGTACACACACATGCAAGAAAGCATCAGGGAGGTAGAGAAGCGATAGATGAGAGGAGACAAAAGAAAAATAGAAAGAGACAGAGAGAGAAGAAAAAAAAAAAGGAGAGAGAACACAAGGAACAAAAAAGCCAAAGAGGCAAAACAACCCACTGCCCAGGAAATGGGAAGTTGAACTCCGCCCGCCGACACAGCCAAAGCAATCGACTCTGCTCCACCCCACTCCACTCTACTTTGTTCCTGCTTTCCATTCTATTTTCATCTGGGTTATCCACCACCTTATTTGGTGTTTTCTTTTTTGTTACTTTTTCTCTCGTAAACATTATCATTTGTAGCAGTAGTAGGACTAGAAACACCAATTACATATATGCGCATGAAGATATATTATATACATTGTCTTCTCTGTTACTGCCGATGTCGGAGAGGGCATCTGTCAATTGCAGCGCATACACTGCTCCCCTCTTTTCGCCCCCTCCTCGGAAAACAGTGAAACAATAAAATAAAAAAAAATGCGTGAGCTTTACACAGCGAAAATGTCTCTCCCCCCCCCCCTCCCCTCCCCCCGTTCCTTTAGCCTTCATTTCTTCTCTCGTTTTCTTTCTTCCTCGGCTTCATAAAAAATTATACTATAAACATAAACATGGATACACTTCTATGCTTTGCTTGGAAAAGAAAAAAAAACAATGTCGTTGAACTGGTGGATGGACTCACAACTAGGCAAATTCAAGAGGCTATATGATGTGCACACTTTCCTCTCAGCTGAGTGGCATGCTCGTCGATAAGGCGGTCCCCATACCCAAATATGTCCTGGGGCACCCTCCCCTGACCAGCACAAACAACGCACAGCACTGTCACACAGACGGTCAGATATATCTGCATTTCTCATCCTCCCTTTTGGTTGTTATTTTTGTGCCCCCACTTCTTTGCAAGCTCCGCTCTCCCTTTAAATTCATCGGTGGATCTTCCCAGTCTTTCAGACCCGGCAGCATATATCGGGATAGATAAAATTTAACCCACCAAATAATACAAGTCTGGCAAATCCAGTGAGAGGTAACCATCATGTCACTAGTTCTGCCCCTTTTTTTTTCGCATTTTCCTTTTTTTGCTCTTTCGCTCTCACACACGCAGAGTTATTTCTCCCATTGCGCACCTACATGTATGATATTGTCGCTCCACCCACCCAACCTTTCTACAACCTTCAAATCTCAAAGTCCATTTTTTTCTCCCGTTTCGGAGCATAATCATCCACCTTTTTTTTTCTCGCCTTTCATCCCTCGTAAGCACGGTAATTGAAGTCAATGATACTTTTTTTTTTCGGTTTTCCTGCGTGTACGTGCCGGGTGCTCTCCAGAGGTCATAAGTCGCGGAGCTCTCTCACGTCCTTTTCTTACCTCTGGGGTTCCATCAGTCATGGTCTAGCCGTCTGGAAAACTCCGACAGCTCGTCTCCCGTCACCTCCCCAAAGTGTTAAATAAGAATATTGAACAAACAAACGAGAGAGGACGAGTAATACCGCTCATTGCCACCTCCGTCCGCAAAAAAAAAAAAAATGTGAATTCATGCATCCAACGCACCCAACAACGCCACCCAAACGCAAAAAAAAAAAAATGAGTCATTGACAAGTTCAATAGGCCTTCTGTTGCCACATCGATGCTGCAGACTTTGTTCCCTTGTTTTTTGTCTGTTTATATATATTGTTTGTATTTTTACCTGAAGTGACAGTCGTTGATATTGTTGCCGCACCTCCCTCCTCAACACGGCCCTGTTACTTCTTCGTTCCTTTCACCCTGCCGAATTCGCGTTGCTGCCTCCCGCTGATCCTGTCCTTGCAAACCACTGTTGCTCCTCGTTTCCCAAATGGCAATCCCGGCATCGAGAGTGGGCATTTCATTCGTCATATTGGATGCTTCGTTGCTGTTAGGGTTGCTCATTCCATGTCCAGTTTCAAAGGATCCCATGCTGACGGCGCCGCCACTCTTGGCGTTATTCCGAGGGTTCTGCTGCCGTGAAGGCATCTGGTTGTACATGCCCGGTGGGCTACCAATGGGACTGGAAAAAACACCTCGTTGTTGTTGTTGTTGTTGTTGTTGTTGTTGTTGCTGCTGCTGCTGCTGCTGATACAGCTGCGGTGCAGTGGCCTGCGTCTGCTCCAAGGGTGAATATAAATCCCTTCGATTTCCAGGAACGTTAATGTTGTCAAAGCGATTGGCAGAAGACGTGTATGGCCCACTCATAATGGGGGGAGATTCCATGGAGCTGCCTCCAAAAGGCGCGGACATGTACCGTCCCCCAGCATTCGCAGAAATAGGTGGTACGACATTTGGGGAGGCACCAGGTCGTACCATTACCATTCCACCCTGCTGTGTACTGCCACCCGTTGAACCTCCAAAGTTATATTGATTCATAGGAACCTTCAGCTCGACAGCATATCTCGCTTGCTGTTGAAGTTGTTGATGCCTCACACTGTTGGGTGTGGCAAATTGTACTCGTAATGGATTAGTCTGAGGGGGAACTGTATGCTTCTCGTTAAGCGCGTTTATGGCATTCATGGCCATTTCATTCGTCTCGTAGCGCACCCAAGCACTTCCCTTTGAACGTCCCAAGGGATCACGCATAATTTTTACCTCTAAAAGCTCCCCATATGGCTCAAATACGGGTCGTAACTGTTCTTCTGTGGTCATAGCGGGGACTTGCCCTACGAAAAGTTTGCTTCCAATATGAATGTTTGTCCTAGGATCTTTCGATACTGGAGTCGGGGAAAACTGTTGGTAAACATTGACAGGCTGACCAGCGCCACTATTGAACGTTTGATACTGCATCATCTGTGGATTTTGCTCTTGCGGGTTCGTCTGCAGACCATAACAACTGGGTGTGTAACCTGCACGCGGATATTGGTTGCTGCCGTTGCTGTTGCTTGAAAACGGCCCATTGATGACTGCTGCGTAGTTCATTGTTGTTGTTATTGTCTTCTCACCCTGTGTTATGTTTGTTAATGCTCTCTTGTATCTCTGGTTCTTTCTGCTTAAGCACAGACAAGTGTAACCTTCAGTTAAGGCCCTAAGTTTTCACTTTTCTGGCGAAAAAAATCTGGTAAGATCGTGCTTACTCAAGAGGTTATCCGTATGGGCGTTTTCCTTCCCTCTGATTTTTTTTCTTCCTTTTTTTGTGCTTTTCCCTCGCTTCCTTTTTGGTTGGCGAATTATTTAGCTTGGGTTTTCACTCAACTATACAGCAACGAAAGTCATGAAAGAGATGCGTAATACACCTGACATTGGCGCAGGGTGGTGAATGGCCCAGGCACACAGCAAGAAAAAGAATGTCAACAAAAAGGACATAAAAACATGGTACAGACCTGCCCCCAGAAACATTGCCAGCAGTCGCCTTTACCGGCTGAGGGACTCCAGCAGAGAAAAATAACTCTCTCTCTCTCTCTCTCTCCCCACACACACGCACAAACATATATAAAAAAGCCCATACAACTGGTAATAGAGCAAAATGGGGCAAAAATACATTTATTAATGCAAAGATGCAAATACAGACAGCTTTTCAAAAAAAGCCCAAGAGAACAAAAAAAAAAAAAACGACACCCAAAAAAAAAAAAATCATCTCAGGACCGCATCAGAGTAGAACTGGCGTCTACCACAAAATTTCCAAACTACGGTAACCGTTTTTTTTTTCCGCTACATCTGCCTTCATAGCGCCATCGCATGTCATATTTGCTCAACTCCATGGTGCCGTATATTCTAGCAAACATTTCACATCTGGTTTCGTCCCACGGTTCATTGAAAATTTTGATCCTTGAGCAGCCAATGTTGAGTTTGATGCAATCACTACGGCGGCTCTGTGCATCACCTTCATCTCTTCCAGACACTCAAAAACTTCATCCACGAGCCTCATTTCTTTATCCTCCTTTCCACTAAAAATAAAAATAAAAAAAGCCATGTAGACTAATTCGCGTGAACGGCCCTCCCCCACAATGTGTGGTGGCCTTTGAAGGACACCGGGATCAGCTCTCAATCCAACTTTAGCCTCTTTCACACAAAATGAGGCCTTTTCAGTGGTATACCGACAGTCACAAGCCCTGATAATAGAGGTAGCTCCACCGACGCAATAACCATCAATTGCGCAGACAATAAGAAGATAACACCGAGCCAGTAAAGAATCACTCGACTGGAAGAATCAAATCTTGGCATGTTGCTGCTGAAACTGTATCGTCGGCATCCAAGTAGACCTTTTTTTTTCCACCCATAGCATAGAAACCCAAAATTCCTTGTTATAACTCTTGTAATTGTTTCAGGTCCAAACCGGCAGAAAAAGAACTTCCTTCTTTTGACGTTAAAATACCCACTTGTGCAACTCCATTGAGCTCACTTGAAAGGTAACGAGTGGCCCTCGATAAAGACAAATATGATGAATCTAACAGATTAAGTGGTTTATTTTTATTGTTCGCCGTTATTTCACAAATCTCCGTATATTTGTATACATACAATTCAAAGGGTGCGAAAGTCGCCGATGAAGCAGAATATCCGCAAAGACACAAACACCGACACGATATCAGTGTAAAAAGGCCCCCTACTTCAGTTCTTTCAAATATTTTCCCTGGTTTTACGTTATCTTTCCGTCTTTGGGTACTTCTTTTTGCCTTTTATTATTATTTACCCAATTAAAGAGAATAGTACCTATTCAAGAAGAAACACACAAAAAAAAAGATAAAAAAAACATATAATAATACGTTAAAATGACCCCCACATATATAGGCATAAAAGAAAACAAGTAAATACGATACAGAAACCATTCTAAACTGAAGCAAAAAAAAATCAAAACGCTAAAAAAAAAAGAACAGCAACAACAAGTATATACATAATCAGGGCTTCATTGTTCCTGTACATCGGACGTGACATTTGGTTTCAGCCAGAGCCTCAGAAGATTTAGTAATGAAGGAAAAAGTACAAAAGGAAACATCGCCGATTTCTCGCTTTGGATTGTATGACAATGAAAATATAGCTTGACCCCCCGATGGAACACTGACCTTCATGGGATCTAATTTCCACCCGTTTTCAAGGTACGATTCACTCCAACCAGTAACAGTACATTCAAAATGTGCACCTAGTTTGACACCACCAACTATTATGGTTCTTCTTTCTTCTGGAGCGCACAAAATTTGAATTGGATAAGCAGCATAGGAGCCTTCGACTGGAAACATGTCGGATTGCAGGCCCGTACACAACACAGAAGAATTTTCTGCCATTTGTGTTGTTTGCTCTGGAAAAGTAAAAAAAACTGATTTTTCAGACGCTCTTCCTTTAAGAAGAATTGTATGGTGATACACACCTGCATTCAGATGAAGACTGGCGCACAAGGATCCCACTACTCGAGGGCAAAAAATAAGTCTAGTAGTCACCTTACAATTAGCAGGAATTGAAAATTGATCCGATTCAATAATAAAAGAATGTGCCTCGGGCCACTTAAGTTCCTCGCCCTCAGGAGAAAAAAGCTTGGCGGTTACCTTAACAGGCAACGAAGTCAAATTATGCAGATACAATGATTGACAGTTTTCTTGTCCAGCAAGCACAGTATCAAACAAAAATTGATCAACAGACTGAGGTCGGTCCCCTGAAATATTACTCTCTCTAGTAATTAACAAATCTGCAGGTCGACAAACGCCAGATAAAAAAAGTGTAATGTCATTTGCAGTAGCAGATGTAATAGTGATAGTATCCCTAAAATTACCGTACTCTGTGGGAATAAATCTAATACCAATAGCACATTCCTCATTTTGAGATAGTTTCACGGGTGGTAATTTTACTATGTGAAATGGAGATAATGTATTAATGGGTCGTACCTGTAAATTAATAACACCTTTGCCAATGTATTGCAAACAACATGTTTTTTCACTCAGTTGTTTTAGCGGTACCTCACCAAACTCAATATCAAGACATGTACCACTCGAAGATACCCCAACAAGTGGTGGTTCTTCTATTATATTTTTCAAAGGCAAATTTTTTTTTGAAATACGCTTTGATGACTCCCTTTGAACCACCAACTTTGGCACAACGCGTGAAAGGCATCGTGCAACCAAGTTTGGTTTCACCACTGTACAATTAACTTGAAGCAAAATCAAAAACTTTTCTCGTTCTGTGTTGCCTTTACATTTCACAAAGAAAGTGGATGTTCTACACCATTCTTCACCTATTGAATTACTTTCCCAATCCATATAAAGTGCGTCTAATGAGACCAAATTTTGATCTACAGATCCTGCAACTTCATTTGAACATTCTCGTTCCTTACGCTTTTTCAATGAGCCCTTAACAATTGAACGAGAAACATTTTCTTCAATAGCTACAGGTACCGGATGAGGTTCTGGAGGCCTAAATATCACAACAATTGCAATCGTTTTCCCAGGAGAAATAACTCCTGATGAAGGAGATACTCTCAATGCATTGCTTGGTAAACTTAGACAAAAACTTTGGGGTGCAGAGCCAATGTTTTCTAACAATGTTGTACAGTTCATTTCTCCACCTAATGGACATGCCGGAAGGCTAAGACAAGGCCTCAAAAAACGCAAACTGTTTTTACGACCACATCCTGTAAGTTGCACACTACGAGAATCCCCATATTCATTAGTTATTTTTATTACCTGTGTGTAGTGTCCCAATGTAGGGGATATAACTCCAACTTTAAACTCAAACACCTCTTTTGGTAATAACGTTAAAGTTTGAAAAGGTTTTATATGTACATTTTCAGGAAGTTTCAAGAAACCCAAACGTTGCGGCAAATCTGAGATATTCCTTATTTTCAAGGGAAGAATAATTTCTTCTCTCATACCAGAAGTACCAAAATTCAATTTGTTTGTTTCTAAAGCAAATCCTCGTTCAGTTAGCTGAGCCTTCAGCGTAACTGAGATGGGTGATGCCTGCCCTGACACAGTCATTTTAATAACAGAAAAAACCGTGGGTGTCATGCCTCGAGAAGGTGTAAATAATATATAAAGATCAAATGTGTCATTCGCTTGAATACATGCAGTTTTTGGCGAAAACATCACCGAGGATGCTAATGTACTTGAAATTTCAGGAATCACAGTTACCGACACATTTGTGGCATTGGTTATCACTATTTTTTCACAATATGTGTTTTCGTAAAAACACCAATTGAAATCTATTTCCGATGCCGAAGAAATGTACACAGGAAGCGAGCCTCCAGAACCTTTGACGGAAACGCTCTTAATATGTGTTCTGCCGTCCGAATCATATCGAAGTTCAATTGTCTCATCCATTGTAATTTCTTCGTTTGGAGAAAATGCCACCTCTAGATGACACGCAGAAAACGGATTCACCAACAGCTGGTATGCCACAGGTGTAATACTCAAAACAGGAATATAGTTATCACTTTGAAGATCCTTGTGAAACACCTCAGTCCATTTTCTAAGAGATCCTGAAATAAAAACCTTGGCGGCAAGTGCCCCATCATTCCGCAAAGTTAATACCCGTGTGGATTTTTCACCAAAAATAACAACGCCAAAATCAAGACATTCTGGATCAACTGAAATGCAAGATCGTTTACGGTAAGCTTTTACAGGGACAAAGAAAAGACCGTCTTCCGTTCGAAAACCAATTGCTGTTTCCAAATCTTCATTTTCTCCAGGAGTAAATATCACCCTCACTTTCCATGACAGCCCTGTAGAGATTTTCGGTGGCAGAACATAGTCAGTGCGTAATACATCCCTATATTTCATAGATATTGGTAAAACCCGAAAGCTCACAGGACGATTTGTGCAGTTGGTTAGTGAAACCACCACTGTATATGTTGTACCGACAGTAATGTTTTCAAAATAAACACTTTTTGGAGTGCAAATAAAACCCAGAACTCCATCCTGCTGCGCTACTTCCTCAACGCCATGCAAACCCGAAACTGTTAATTTGGACTCCTCGTGGTAAACCTTTTTGGGCTTACAAATGGGCTCCTCAGCCACATCCACATTTCTGTAACGTTCATCACGTAGCGTTCCATCTTCATAGGCTAAAAAATCCATTGTCGAATCTATTTCCATAAATAAAGAAAAAAAAACGTGCATTTACAAAGCCCGAGATCGATCCAGATGAAAACGAAAAGATCAACATTAAGCTCAAAGCACCCAACCTATAAAATAACACACATAAAAGCCAACAACGAGGATGACATTCGATAAAGATTCTGCCGCGCATGTTCCTATCACCATTTCTATTGCTATTGTTATGTTTGTTCTCGCTTCCGGGCATTACTTGTGGGCCCAAACCCGGAGGAAGCCCCGCGCCTCTCCGCCCACATAGCGGCACCTTTCAAAAGGCAAAAAAAGCAATGGGGAGGCAGCAGTGTGATGGTCCCTGGGGCTTCTTGGCTTTCGGCTCTGGAGCCCGCACCGGATTTGACGGCGGATTGCCCCTCCCATTGCGGTTAATTTCATTTTCGACATATTCTATTTTAGGCGTTCCCAACCCGCCGGCATGCTTGTATATTACAGTTTTGTCTCTGCAGTTGCTTGGGGCCCCACCGTGTCGAGAGGGGTGTAGTACCAATAGTGGCGTTCGGGTGTTTGTGTGTGTGTGAATTTGTGGGCGCAGTCGGTGTTTTTGTACGCAGCAATGCGCAGACCGAAAAAAAGACACAGTATCACACTTTTGAATAATTTTCTCCCTTTGTACTATTTGAGGAAAATTTTTAACAGTTATTGCGAGCATTACATTTATTGTTACTTTCAGCCCGTGCTTGTTTATGCTTTCTTTTTTGTGCCTTTTGTCTTTTATCAGATAAAGCAGTAAGTAAGATGGCAGAAAATTTTCTTCTTTTTGGCCTCCCCTTTTTGCCACAATGCACTGACACTCTTCCATCTACTCAATTCAAATGCCTTGTGTCAGAAATGGGACCTTTGGGTCAAGCTCTCCGGCCGTTTGTGGTCCCTACGCTGAGGGTAGGAACTTTGGACTCTTTGATAGAGGCAAGTGATGAGCTCACCAAACTCGATCCACAACTTGAGAATACTGTGGAAAAATTAATTGCACTCATGGAGGAGACTTCTCAGAAGCCACGAAGCGTTGTCACTGCACTTCGCATTAATCAAACACAGGAAATGACACCAGCTACATACATTAAAAATTTTCTTTGGAGTTCAGCGCAATTTGATACGAGGGAAAAAATTCGTGTGCTGATAGAGAAACTTTCTCAAATTTCGACCTCAACAGAGGAGCGTATTCGTGTATTATTAACTGAGTATAATGATACACGGAATAAACTAACGGCTGTGACTCGAAAGGCCCAGGGAAATTTATCGGTGAAACCCATCAGGGAATTGGTTACCTCGTACAATCAGAAGTTTTCGTGCTATGTGGACACTGAAATGCTCGCGACATTATTTATTGTTGTACCTTTGGCTTCTCAAAAAGAGTGGCTTGAAACATATTGGTCTCTTAATGAATTTATTTGCCCGAAATCAAACCGTGTGATTGCAGAGGATAAGGAATGTGCTCTTAACAGCATTGTTGTTTTTCGAAAAGCGCTGGATGATGTCAGGATGGCCTGCCGGAGGAAGCGTTTTACTGTTCGAGACATCGATGGGGCTGATGATCTCACAGTAACAGAAATGAAGGAATTGAATCAAAAGGCTGAAAAGGAACGAAAAGCACTTTATACGGTGCTTTGGCAACAGTATTCTTTGTGCTATGTAGCATGGGTGCATGTAAAGGCACTTCGGGTGTTTGTTGAGAGCTTACTAAGGTATGGTTTACCTCCCCGATGCATATCAGTTGTACTACAAGTAGATAGGAAAAAAGAAACAGAAATACGAAAGAAGATATCACAACTCTATCCTAATTTAAACTCTCCCTTAGCGAATGAACCCACAATTGACACTGGAATGTTGCAGTATGAGTACCCGTATGTCTCTTTGAAAGTAACTAACTTTCAAAAATAATAGAATATGTTCAAGAGGGCTTGATGCATAGGGTATTGATTGTGATTTTTTTTTTAAAAATCATTTTATTACATCGTTTGAGTGCTTGTGGTTCTTATATCTGTATTTTTTTAACTTTATTGAAATTATTATTATTTAATGTCCTACTGTGTTTTCACCACTCCTGCCTTGTTTATTTATATATATATATATCTTTTTCCTTCTGATGAATAATTTTATCCGTATGTTTGTACGTATTTGTTATTTCCAGATTCAAAAGCAACGATACAAAGTAAGCAACCACAAAAAATATATATGAAAAAAAGCAAACACCAGCTAATGATTTGTGCTCTTACTGTTGTAGTTCTTGGACTCTTGGTTGCTGGCCAATCAGACGCATTTGAGATCGTTCCAGCTCGAGTGTCTCACCTAAAGGCGGATCATAACGTTTGGAAGCCATCAGGTGCTGTGATATTAAGAGGGGGTGTTGCTTGTGCTCGTGCGTATCAAGAATCCTGTCCACAATGTCCACAAGAATTAACGGCAGTTTGCACGTTTGATGGAGGTAATACATTTTCACTTCAACAAACACAGTATCCGTTTTGTGGAAATCGTGGAGTTGTTATAAATAACTCTCTTTTTTGTCCTGCAAGTTTGAAACAAGTTAATTCGAGTGTGTTGAATGTTAATCTCATTTCTTATGATTCGTTGGATTCTCTGGTGGAAACTCCGAATGTGGACAAGATGTGGACATTTCACTATTGGCCTGGTGAGGAAGTCACTGACATTAAGTTTAAAGGAAACACTTTGGCTTTCCCCGAAGAGCATCTTTATCTTATGAATGCGGTTGTGGTACGCGGAAATTATACTGTTGATCATGTGCTTTTCAATTCATCTGATGGCCAAATTTGGAAGGTTCAAAGCCGTATACCTCTGGATGTTGCTGACAAAACTGTTCTTTCTCAGACTGGACAACATCAAATTGCTGTGTCAGCTTATACCAAAGGCGAACATCGTATTGTTTATTCCTTTTATAAAGGAACACGATGGAGTACCACAAGGCACTTGAATACATCTTTTCCACCGGCAACCTTGTATGTTGGGAATGGTATTATGATTCAGACTGGTTTGTCAAACCACTCTGCTTCACTCGAGCTGGGTGGATTTGATGAGACCAATTTAAAGCGAAAGGTGTTTCGTCTCACTGAACTTTATGCAAATAAGACGGAACACAATCAACTTCCTCAGCCTTTTACAACTGAATGTACAGAGGAAGCATCCTGTTTGACATCTTCTCATGTTGCTCTTATGAGTTTGCAACCAGGCCATATAACTGCACTATTTGATTTTGTTTCAAATGAATTGCAGCGAAAAATAGTAGCTGCAGTATCCATGGTGGTGGACGATTCAGAAGAGAGGGAGGCGATTATTCTTGCGAAGAAGAAAGCCGAGGAGAATGCCAAGCTAATGGAGGAATTAAAAAGAAAGATTCAACACGAAAATAAAGAACGAAAAAGAAAAGAACGTGAAGAAAAAAGAAGGGAGGAAAAGAAAAGAAGAGATCGATTTCTGAAGGCGGATATGGTAAATATTGAGGTTGCAACGTCGAGAACGCGGGAAGACGGTGAGATGATTGTTGTTAGAGAAGTCGTGGAGGAAATGATTGATATAGAAAAGAATGTCTTTTTTTGGTAGCTTTGCAACGGGTCCTCTTCATATTCTCTTTGCCCAATGATTCATACGAGTTTGTTTGTTTTTGCTTTGTTTGGGTTTACTTGCATCATTACAGTTTCCTCACCTCTTCTAAAAGAGAATTATCACTGATCACAAAGTTAATGTGGAGTATTATTACCTATTTATAGGAAGTGCAATTTTATTATGCAACTGTTTTGTTTTCTTATTCTTTTATTCATGTTTCTCTCTTGGACAGTAAAAGTGGCAATAATAATAACTGGCAGCAACATCAAATGAAAGATTTAGTAATTCCGTACCCTGAAAAGTCTGCGAAAGGTGCTCATCTTGCTTTGAAAAGTTTATTTGCTCGTACTACATTCTTTGCGTTGCGTAACGCTTTTGTTGCTGCTGGTGTAAGGATTTTAATAGGCATAGTTAAGCGTATTGGGAAAGGAGAATTACGATGGATCGTGTTAAAACCCGTTCTAAAAGAGATTTTTTCTCTTGATCCGCTGAAATGGGGGTTTATTTTTGGTAGTCTTGTTTGCTTTTCCCTTTTAAAGGAAATTATTCGCAAGCTTGGTTGTTTGTGCCGTGTACCGGAGAAAGTTGCTTCTGCGCTCGCAGCTTCTATCTGTTCTTTGCCTGTACTTGTGCTAAATAAGGAGACCAGAACCGATTTATGTCTTTATGTCCTAGTACGAGCGCTACACAGTTTTGCCGTGGGACATATTTTACCCCTTTTACCAAGGCCTTTACGGGAATTTCAATACTATGACATTGTTGTCATGTGCCTAAGTGCATCTCAAATTCTTTATGGTGTTGTTTTTGCTCCCTTTTCTTTGCCTTCATCATATCAGAGATTTCTGTCGAAGGCCTCCATGTTAGATAACCGCTTGGTTCGAGGTCATGCAGGTCTTGCGAGGTATCAGTTAACCCCTGAATTGGTGGAATTGTGTATGGAAAGGGGTATTAAGGTTCCTCAAAGTGCAAGGGAACATTTCAGCATCGGTTGCTTACTTACTCATCCAGGAATGACATGCAATACGTTTTTTCTTCGTTTTATTGGGAGAAACATGATTCAGGTGGGGCTTCCGCTTTATACTCCTCTAACACTAGGTAAACTTATTCTGTACCAGCGGAAAAAATTGAGGAATCAACCTTTTGAGCTATTACAAAACTCAGTTCGTTCAGTACTTTCGAGCGCACTTTTTTTGGCTCTTTATGCAGCAAGCTCTGTGCGTTTTGCGTGTTTTTTTGCTCAAGGTAATATTCGTGGTGGCTTTTTTTTTGCCATTTTTTGTTCAATGGCAGGCATCGCGACCTTGCTTGAACCCAAAGGAAGAAGGATGGACTTGTCTTTGTACTGCTTCATGTATGCTCTTCGATCTTTTTTTATGACACAGTATCGTTTGGGATGGATACCATATCCAAGACATAAAGGAATTTGTTTGCTTTATGTGACTTCTCTTGGGTTTCTTACATATCAGTTTGATCAAGAACCGGATAAACTTAACCCTCGACTGTATGGTTATTTATCAAAATTATTTCCAGTCATGCAATTAGAGCGAGGTATGAAGGAAAAGACTTGTGGTAGTGTAGATAGCATGGGAATGTTGGATGAACAGTAGCGGAAATGTAGTATATATTTAGGTGTGTTTTTGTATCATCCTATGCTTTTATGCACTGTCTGTGTGTGTAAGTTTGTTTGTGTTTGATGGTTTGACTGTTAATTCTTATATATATATATATATATATATATTATTGCGGTGCCTTATTAAAACAACCTAACCATATAAATATATTAGAGGTATTGATTTTGTGGTGCTATATATTAAGAATACAGGCAAAAGTAAAACATCCAAAAGTATGACTGAACCGGCCACAGAGAAACTCATTCGTGAGCGATTGGAGAGATCCGGGGAATTAGGAAAGATGAGGGCTATGGTTGTAGATGCCGCTCTTAGGTCTATTTCACAAGATTCTACGATGATGGCAAAGCTGTTTGCTCCAACCTCCACATTGAAAGCAGCAAGAGAGGAGAGCGGAGGCAAACAGGCGCTGGCTATTGTGATAGATTACCTGGAGTATCTGGGTTTGAATTACACCTTGAATGTACTCAAACAAGAGGCGAGTTTGACAGAAAATGCATTGGAACAAAAAGACGTTGTTTTGCGTGCACTGAACTTGCCTGATACGAATAGTCCGATTCTGACTACGCTTATTCAGGTGGTAGGCACTGAGGATAGTGACGCCAAACGAAGGGTTAAAGGAACAGTTGTGGATTCTACAGATTCTCTCCTACCATCTTCAAAGATTACCGTGGTACCAAAGAAGGTAGAGGGTGGTGAGGACACCACATACTTTATATCTAAGTGGACAGGTCAAACTTTTTATCGCTGCAGAGGCCAGGTAAGCGGACAACAGGTTCAATTGGAATATCTTACGGATTGCACCACATACATCTTGGATCCACTGGATAGTATTACTGTGGATGATTGTGAGGGTGGTGAACTTATTGTCGCTGCCTGTGAAGGTAGTGTGTTTCTGCGCAATTGCAAGAACATGACTGTGTATGTGGGTTGTAAACAATTACGTGCACGTGATTGTGAGCATATTGTGCTTCATTTATTTGCATCAACAGATCCAGTTATAGAGTCAAGCCATCATATGACATTCAAACCCTTTAACTTGCGCTTACCGGAACTAAAGAGTTGCTTTAAATCAGCTCACTTAGATCCCAAATTGAATCGTTTTATGCATGTGTATGACTTTACCGAAGATGACACTAAACTAAAAAGGCCCCATTTTACTGTTCTCTACCCGAATCATGGACTTCACATGGTCGATCGTTGCAAGGAAAAGGGCAAACCTGAGTGCCCACCAGAAATTGAGGACCTTCTTGAGGGTCGAATAGCCCCTGCTTCCAGTTCAGAATCTGGGCGAAACAAGAGTTATGACATTAAAACAGGTGCTCAGAAGTGGACAGAGGCGTCCCTAGATTTAAGCGATGCGGAGCAGCAGGAGGAGGAGGTTGCCTCCGACGAAGTAAGGAAGCCAGCCGCAAGCTCGCAACTGCCTGTACAGGGAAGAGTTCCGCTAGCAGTTCAGGCAACGAAGCCAACAGTTCCTATTCAGGCAGCCCCTGTAGCGGAGGCGGTGCGTGGGGTGTTGGATGAATCATATTCTTCGTTTGATGATGACGATGACGATGACGACAACGCTGATGATGACGCGCTTGATGTGGATGAGGATAGCGATGACTTTTAGCCTCTCGCCTGCCTTGGTAGCATGATGTGTATGTGTGAGGGAGAGGTTAAGCGATGACTTTGAGTGAATGAATTCGGCGCTCGTTTTCCGATTTGAAAGGCAATCAGGGCTGCATGGAGCGCTCCAACCTTCTTTCCTCTCACCGACCTTCGTCCAACCGAATCGTCCTCTTCTTGGGCCATCGATTCCAATGCGAGCTGTAGTGCGAGTTTTTATATGGAGATATACATTATTATTATTATTATTTTTTTTTGATAGAAATCCAAAATGGCTCCTTTGGCCTCAGTGTTGTGATTGCGTCGATGTGGAGTGAGAGCGGTGCGACTTGGCACGTTGCGGTAGGGGATAGAAAGAAAAAACGGCTTTGCAACAAGTGAAAGCGTATATAAACAGGTCTTGCTCGAACACTAACATCAACGGTGTATTGCAACAACAAAAACTAAGGAAACAAATGGATAGCCTAGCACCAGCTATGTGCGTACGGCTCTAGCATGCGGAATGGACTTCCACGCGACCGCTTGTGTTGCTTTGAATATTAATACATACGAAAAAAAAAGGAATCCAGAAGAACAAAAAAAGACTCATTGGCACACGGCGTACGGGTGATTCCTTGCAAGTTTTCTTCGGCCTCTTTTTTTTTTAATTAGCTTTTATGTTTGGGGGGTTGAGTACCTCCATTTCAAAACTCCCAGGCGTCTTTTTCGGCAACCATGCATGTGGCTTTTTCCCAGTTCTTAGCTTAAGGCTTTTTTTTCTGTGTTTCCTTTCTCGCGCAATTTGTAACTCCTCACCCCCACAATAAACAAAGAAGCATTGAAGAGGGCGACGGGGGCTGTGTGCCACAATAGCAAGAGAATTACATTTTTTTGCCTTCGAAAGAGAAGACATGCCGTATGGAACCATCGTCGCCGGAGACATATTTGGAAAACGTCGGTGGCAACTGTGTAATTGTCACCACGTTGAAGTCGTGTAATGCTGCCTCTCAAAATCCGCAGCAATTTCCCTGTTTTTCCCAAGCGGAGGCGAGGCCCCTCTTTAACTCCAACAATCGCTGTCCCCCGCCACTTCCCCCGGCTTCAGGGCTCAACTCTTCCGTTAACCTTGACGAGGCAGCTTCTGGTGCATTCAAGAAGGCGGATCTCGTTTCTTCCTGCCCTATGATGTCGCACGAAAATGCTCTTCCAGACACACGACATAACGAGAATCACTGGAAAAGCTCGAGTGAGGTGGTCTCTCCGGGTTTACAGGCACTGGCACCCATGGATGCAACTCTGGTTCCTTCCTTCTGGGCAGTGAAACGGACTCCTCACCTAGGCCCACTTGTTATAGTAAAACGACCGCAACGAACAGACGTCGCGGAACGGGTTGCTTCACTCAGTGAGGTTGAAAAGATGTCGCATCAAAGCGAGGTGGAAAGCTTGCGCATTCAACTGGAGAGATCGAATGAGAGAGTGGAGGCGGTTAAGTCCAAAGCGGAGCAAAATTTTCTTGAGCGAGTCCGACAGGTTGAGGAAACACATCGCGAGGAAGAACGCTGTCGTCGGCAGCAGTTTCAAGAGGCCCTATCAGGCCTTCGTGCGGAGAATGAGGAACTGATGCGGCGTGTAAAGTCTATGGAGGACAATGCAGGTTGCACTGCGGTTCGAGAGCGGGAAAAAATGCAGAGTGAGTGGAGCAGTCGTTTTTTGGAGAACGAAGATCAATGGAAGCAACGGCTTAGCGTCGCACAGAAGCAGTGGGGGGATTGCGTAGATGAGCAGGTTCGGGAAAAGCACGAAGCCCTGCGACAGGTGCAGGAACTTGCGCATGTGGTAACGGAACTTGAGATAGCCCTGCAGCGGGTAACTCGTGAGAAGTGTTGGGCGGAACAGCAGTATGACACGCTTCTGTCTAGTCAGCATCAGGGAAACAGCCCGAGTGTGTGCGTTAAGGGCGAAAAAAAAGATGCAGGAGTGCAGCATGCTCACGAGGGGGAGGTGTCGGCACTGCGTCGTGCGTTGAAAGAGGCTGAGGGGCGTGAGGCAGCACTAATGGTGCAGTTGGAGGCATGCGGGAAGGAGGCAGCTGTGCAAGAGGACAAATTCGAAAGACGTCTGTATCAGGTGCGCGAGGAGCTCGAAAATGAGAGGCGACGAGGATCTGATATTGTGAAACTGTATAGTGGTCAGGTAGAGTCACTGCATCAACAGCTTAACGATGCCTTGCGGCGAAGCAAACAGTTGACGAAGGAACTGATGAGGTTTCAGGAATGATGGGGCGCGAAGAAAACAAAAGCAAAGGTAAAGTTCTTCACCCCTACGGCCCAGACAATATGTGTACTTTGTAACTTGCATTTGTTGTATCATTTATACCGTAATGAACCTATGCCGAACCGTTTTTTTTTTTAGTCTGTTTTGCCAGTGATAACGTGTTTCCTTTTTTGTTTTGTTATTACATTTTTGCTGCTCTTTTCTTGTCCTTATTGTTGGTTTCTCTATCATATTTTTGCACACGTGGCTATAATGGAGACCACACAGCAAAACTTATTTGATAAATTGTCTTCCCAAAACAAAACAAAGAGCGCAAAGCAAACAAAATAATAATACATCTATAGGATAATCATTATTGAACGTGGGGATGTTTTGTAGCACCACAGCAGCAAGGACTGGAGGCCCCAAGCTAAATCCTTTTCTGAAGCATCTTGGAATACTGGCAGCCGATGGCGGAGAGGCAAATTACTTCAAATTGCATGAAATTGATTCCAGGTATGAAACTCTTCCCTTTTCCATTCGTGTGCTTCTTGAGTCTGCCGTCCGTAACTGTGATGAGTTTGACATTACTTCCAAAACGGTGGAGAACATCCTTGACTGGAGCGAAACCAGTCACAAGAACATTGAAATTCCCTTCAAACCAGCTCGTGTTGTGTTACAGGATTTTACTGGTGTTCCATGCGTAGTGGACTTGGCCGCCATGCGTGACGCAACAGAACGGTTAGGTGGCGATATAAATAAAATTAATCCCCAAATTCCTGTGGAACTTGTTGTGGACCACTCGGTTCAGGTGGACAAGGCTGGTGCCGCCGACGCGGTGAAGATAAACCAAGACATCGAGATGCATCGTAATCGTGAGCGCTTTGAGTTTCTCAAATGGGGTTCAAAGGCCTTTGACAACCTCTTGATTGTTCCTCCCGGATCTGGTATTGTTCATCAGGTTAATCTCGAGTACCTTGCCCGTGTGGTGTTTAACAACAAGGGTTTGCTCTACCCAGACTCTGTTGTCGGCACAGATTCGCACACCACGATGATTAATGGCGTTGGTGTCATTGGGTGGGGTGTTGGCGGCATCGAGGCAGAAGCCGGCATGTTGGGTCAATCGCTCTCTATGGTGCTGCCGCAGGTTGTAGGGTACCGTTTTACTGGAAAATTGTCCGAGGGATGCACAGCGACCGATCTTGTGCTAACCGTGGTGAAGAACCTTCGCAAGTTGGGTGTGGTTGGTAAATTTGTGGAGTTCTACGGACCTGGTGTCGACAGTCTTTCCTTGCCTGACCGCGCAACGCTGGCAAACATGGCCCCGGAGTACGGTGCTACCACTGGATTCTTCCCAATTGACGGAGAAACGATTAGTTATCTACGATGCACGAGTCGCAGTGTTGAACACTTGGATCGCATTGAGGCGTACGCCAAGGCTGTCAAAATGTTCCGTACAGGTGAGGAAAAGATTAAGTATTCGCAGAACCTTGAACTGGATCTTTCTACGGTGGAACCGAGCCTCGCTGGTCCTAAGCGCCCACACGATCATGTGCCACTAAAGCATATGAAGGAGGACTTTAATGCGTGCCTACAGGCTAAGACGGGGTTTAAAGGATTTGGTGTTCCCGCAAGCGAGTTGACGAAGAGAAAGAAGTACAACGTGAAGGAGAAGGGTGCAGAGATGCATCATGGGAGCGTCGTGCTCGCAGCCATCACCTCATGCACTAATACATCCAACCCCAATGTTCTCATTGCTGCTGGATTGGTGGCAAAGAAGGCTCTTGAAAAGGGACTGCAGGTACCTCCAGGAATCAAAACATCATTGTCCCCTGGTTCGCATGTTGTGACAAGGTATCTTGAAGCCTCGGGCCTACAGAGCTCGTTGGATGCCCTGGGTTTTAACACGACTGGGTACGGTTGCATGACATGTATTGGCAACTCTGGGGAAATTGACGCGGAGATGTCCAAATGTATCACCGACAACAATTTTGTGGCGGCAGCCGTATTGTCGGGCAACCGCAACTTTGAGGCCCGCATCCACCCATTGACAGCCGCAACCTACCTGGCCTCACCACCTCTTGTTGTGGCTTACGCTTTGGCAGGGCGCGTCGATATTGATTTTGAAAAGGAGCCTATTGCAAACGGCGTGTTCCTGCGGGATATTTGGCCCAAAAACGAAGAGGTGCAAGATCTCTTGAGTCGCTACGTTACACCGGAGCTGTTTAAGGCGGTCTATGCGCATATTACGACTCTCAATGACGAATGGAATGCGCTTGAGGTGAAGGAAGGTAAACTATATGATTGGAACCCCAATTCGACATACATTCACTGCCCGCCTTACTTCGAAAATATGACCATGGAAATTACACCAAACACAGTCATTAAGGACGCGGCATGCTTGGCGCTCTTTGGTGACTCCATTACAACGGATCATATTTCTCCTGCGGGCAACATTGCCAAGGATTCTCCGGCTGCTAAATTTCTCCAGAATAGTGGAGTGGAGAGGAAGGACTTCAACACATACGGTGCACGTCGCGGTAATGACCTTGTGATGTTACGAGGAACATTTGCAAACACACGACTTGGGAATCGGATTATTGGTGAAGGCCAGACCGGACCTTTTACTATTCATTTCCCAACAAACGAGAAAATGTACATTGTTGATGCAGCTATGAGGTATCAAGCCGAAAACATTCCTCTTATTATTCTTGCTGGAAAGGAGTACGGTAGTGGTTCATCGCGGGATTGGGCAGCCAAGGGTCCTTTTTTGCAGGGTGTCAAGGTTGTCATCGCAGAGAGTTTTGAGCGTATCCACCGTTCTAATCTTGTTGGTATGGGCATTGTGCCGCTCCAGTTTAAACAGGGTGAGAATGTGCAGTCTCTTGGTCTGACAGGTAAAGAAAGATACTCTTTTGACTTTTCTGCCGGCTTGTGCCCTGGCCAAGAAGTGACTGTGCGTAAGGATGATGGCTCCTCGTTCAATGCCATACTGCGTATTGATACCGAGATGGAGGTGAAGTATATGGAGAGCGGTGGTATTCTTCAATACGTTCTCCGCGAAAAAATTCGTGGTGCTTTGTAACTGAGGAAAGCGGGGATAAAACGAAACAAAGCAGAGAAAAAAAACAGGTACAAAAAGAAAGTTTATTATACTCTACCGGCCCTGGTTGTTTATATGCGAGATATACTACAAAACCGTGTGAACAATTGCACTTCTGTGTGCTTCTATTTATAGTAGTAGCAATGCATATTGCGCCTTTTGATGGCGACAATATGAATGGTTATGAAAAGAAGAAAACGAATAGCTTCAGTGCTTGTACCTCGACTTTTTTTCTTCCAGATGTTTCTTCGTGGATAATAGTGTGTTGTGGTGACTATTATTTTTTTAAAAAAAAACACTTTTTCGTTTTTTTTTTTGTTTGTCGAGCGACCGCGTTGGAAGGCAGCACGGGGAGTTCTTTGGTTCCGTTCTCCCTCCCCGACCCACCACTACTGCTAGTACCGGCCCAGATGAGATGGGTGCGGCGGCTGAGAGGAATTCCAAAAGACTGCCCCTTTGTGGCTTTTCAGCGGGAGCTTTGTGGTCATAAGGAGTCTTGATGAATTCGTTTGTTTTGAAGATGCGCAGATGATAGGTAAATGAATTCCAACGGGACAATAATAAGAGGAAATACGTTGAAGCAAGTTGTTTGTCCTCGTTTATGTTTTCCTCCTTATGCAGGAAGAGGGGACACCTCAACCTGGCGCGTATTCTGCTGTTTTTTTTTGTTTTTAAAGAACCAGACGGACTTCTCCCAGTAACAAAAAAAATGAAAACAAATTTAATGTTTTGGGTATAGGAAGAAATCGAATTAGCAGCGAACAAGGGAGGTGTAAGGGGGGCACTGACTGATATAAGGGTGGGAGGGAACGATGGAAGAAAGCATCATAGTATAAATGTCAAAAATACGTATGTGCATCATGCGTGAGGAATGAGGGAAAAAAGGAGCCGACTGAGGAGGTAGAGAATAATAAATAAATGTGAACGAATGGGCAATTAAGAGGTGTGTGCGTGGAGAGGAGGGCAGCTTACATTTTTCAGAGCTTACTAGGTGCCACAAGGAGGGAAGATGCAGCAAGTCACACGGAAGTTGGACAGTGCGGCTCTGTTTTTTTTTTTTGCTTTTGTTTTTTTGTGTGTGTACGTGGGATTCCCCCAGTATCACTCGAGGCGTTTTTCCAGCCACCGCGCCACCTCGGCATTGCATACGTGCTTGAGGGTATTACTTAGTTTCTTCGTTTTTTTATTTTTTCTTGCTCACCCTCACGGTTTTTTGTGTTCTGTTGAGTGCAAATTCCTCTTCCCGTCTCCGCTTGTCTCCTCCTCCTCATTCATATCCGTAAAACAGTGCGCAAAAAAAAAAAAACTTAATTTTTTCTTTATGCCGGGATGCATCTGACACTGATGAGAGAGGTGGGACTTTGATGAAGCCCTCTGTTTTATTTTGTGCCCTTCCAAATCTTTGTGTTTCAGTTTTGTAACCATCGGGGTCCCGTGTATTCTTTGGTGAGACAAGCAGGAAAGTAGCTGTTTGTCGCCTAGAACACCACTCCAGGCAACTCAAAACTGTTGCCACTGTAAACGGCGTTACTGACTCAATGGTCGACAGCGGCTGACGGCAAACCGATAGACAATGACAGGACCTTGTTCCATGCAATTGATTCTCTTTTTTTTTTTCTCATTCTCTCTCTCTCTCTCTCCGTATGAGTGCCCATCTGTCACGATTAGTAGTGATGCCCTTTTTGTCGTTGCTGCACGGAGATGATATTCTCATCTCTGTGACATTTGGATCCATGCTTCTGTCTCCAGGCAGCGTAGTATTTGCTGTAGATCTTTGAACTTCCTAGCGTCACCTTCCAAAAGCAATAGATGCTTTTGTTCCATTGAACACATGAATTGCAGATGCTTGAGGTTGCCGTCATATTTTTTTTTGTCTTACTGTGTAGAAGTTGCCGGACTGTGCATAGTGGCAGTTGGAATATGACTTTCTCATGCGAGTTGGATCCGTGGAGGTCGCGCGTGGCGATGGGCAGCTGGGGCAAGCGGCCTGACGGCTTGACAAGCCGTACCGAAGTTTGAGAGGGTCTGCGTACTATCCCGTTTGAATGCTTTATTGTTGACGGTGTTTCCATCCTCTTCACGTTTTTTTTTTTTTTGGTGACTTGGCTTCTCTTTGATGCGCAGGAGGACTGCCAGGCAAGCACACAGTTTCGTGGCTGTGTCACCTCGACGAGAAGACTTACTCTTTTTTTAGTTGTTCTAGTTTTTTTTTTTTTCTGGGCGAGAGATTCTGCCTTTTTGCTTCATCTGCCCGTTGGAAGGAAATAACGGGAGGCAGTTGTGTACTTAAAAAAAAATATTTCCCCTGTATGCATAGACAATGCCGCTGCTTACCCTGGAACAGGTGCTGGCACGCTCTATGCGACTGCCACGCAAGCACATGAAGCCGACTGCTGTCCCTATTGCGAACACCCAGGCACTGGGTACATCTATTTCGTCTGAAACGTCATTGGGGCGTAATGATAAAAGTGTCGCTAAGTTATTTAGTCTTATTGAGAAGGATGAAGAGACTATGACAGCTGGACGACCTTCGATTCATCAGTCGCATAACCTCATTCGAAATAGTCAGGACTTACTTACGTACCTGAACACTGCAAAGCGTATGCGCGCATGGGAAGACGCCCTGCTTGCCTTTGCGGAGGCCACTAAAATGCTACTGATCAAGCAAACGGAGGGCCGCAATGGGGTTTCACTTATTCTACGAGAGGGAGCTGACAGAGGCGTAGAGGGTGGTGAGGGTGTCACGGCCAACGTCGCGCATTTAGCTGTGCTCCTTCACACCTGTGCAGAAGCAAAACAATGGGATTTGGTTCAACAAATCGGGGAGATATTTAGGAAACAATCACCCCAAACATTGATAGATGCGGTTTCGCTCTTGGCGAATACGAAAAAGGAGGATGTAAGCGAAGGGTTCCACGGCCGGGAGCTCGCACTTCATTTTCTGCAGACACGGATACCACCGGGGGAACAGCCTGTTGAAGCATATAATGTGTGCGTGGCGGCCTGTGAGGCGACACTGGATTGGGAGGGGGCATTGACTATTGTGCGTTTTATGGGGCCGAACGTTTTTCAAAATATTGGTTCTACTGTTGTATCAAGTGAGAAAGCAGTTGACGTGACATCTGTAGGCTCGACGCCGGAGGAGGTTCCCTCTTCTGTACATGCTGAGTTGAAGGAGGAGAGTGCCCTTTCAACTTTTCACCCACCAACACCAGACGTGGTCACGTATGCAACGTTGATATCTGTCTTGGAGCAGAGTGGCAAAGATGCGTTGGCAAGCGAAATACTTCAGCGGCTGCCTCCATTAGAGAAGGAAGAAATCACTGCGACATATGCTGCCTTGATACATGTGTGGGCTGAGCAAAAATATCGCCATCATCGCCGTCGGTTTTAAATTTATTTTACTTATATATATATATGCACGTCTGCCTCCGTGTGGTGTACCTTTCTTTTATTTAATGTATGCTCTTTCTTTGAAGGGTACGTGGTGGTTGCAGCGAAAAAGCCTTTTACTTGTTTTGTTGTTTGGGTGTGATGATGTCAGTTTTTGCTGTTATCTCCTCTTGCGCTAATGAATTTTCTTTTTTACTTGGGTGTGCGGGGGATGACCATCCACTGCGGGCGAGGCTTTCTCTATTAGTATCATTGTTAGTAAGGGACGTTTTTAGACAATTTACGTGAAAATTATGTCAGTACCGACGATGAACTGGATTCAGAGGAACCTTGGTATTGATTTCACTGGGGAGTGGGCAAAGCAGTTGTCGCTCAATGTTGGGGGCATCATATTTCTGACGCACCGAGCCACTTTTAGGCCTTTCACTGAACACCCTGTTTTTGGGCCGATAGTCAATGGCACGGGGAAACTTACCGAGGACGGCTCTTTTCTCATTGATCGTGATGGGACAACTTTTCGCCACGTTCTCAACTTTCTTCGCACCGGTGCTTTGCTGCTGCCTGAGTCGTTTGATGAGTGGGAGCTGCTACTCAACGATGCACGTTTCTTCCAGTTACCGGAGATGGAGGAGGCCATCCTGGGGAGATTTGAATATCAGCGGTCGGTTTTTTGCCGCACACTACCACAAGCCATCTTTGTGCATTGGTCAGTGGACAGTCAGTCCAAGAAGGGGGTGGTGATTGTGCCGCAAGTCCCAGCTTTAGTGGTCTCCGAGGATGGATCGGAGGTCCACTATCAGGGGGAATTGTTGCAGAGCCTCGACGAGTTGGTTACCACCTTGCTCTCAGCATACGGGTATGTTATTCAGCATTGGAAGGAACAAGAGGGCAAGGTGTTTCTGAGCCTTGACTCCTCGTGAGGCGACCCCACCTCATTTTTTTTTTTGTTGTCGTTGTGTTGTATTGTTGGTCCTGCCGCTATCCACACATCAATCATTGAAACCAGGGGCCCGCTTCGCTTTTTTTTTTTCTTTGTCGTTCTCTCTCTTTCTTTCTCTCTGCCTGCGTGTGTATGTTTTTGTGTACTGTTGCCTGCCGTACAACTTCTTCAAGTAGAGCAACACGCGGGTAGACTGTACTTATATGCGTTTGAGTGCTTTGGCCTGCAAATGTGTGAGGTGTTGAGAGATACTGCAGATGTCGCTCGACGTCGTCTGTCTTTGCCCCCCTTCCCCAACAGACACACACACACGTCGGGAAGCATAGTGAACCTCGCCCTATTTTTCTTTTTGGCACTCTTGGCGACAGGACGGAGAAAAGGGGTTGGAGCGGGGCGTTACGCACGCACCCATAGTTTTTTTCCTGTGTGTGGAAGTGGCATACCACGAAACTTTACGTCCAACTTATCATGATTTTCTTTTATTCCACCATTTTTTTTCTGACATGCGCCGCTGTAACAAACAAGCGTGGAGTAAAACACACAAGGGTGGGGTGCCGGTAGAGATGTTGCAGCGCACTCTGCTGGACTTTGTGCATAAAAAGGACCCTAACGCACTGCAAGAGGTTATTGACGTGGATGCGACATCGGATGAAGCGCTGGCATCTGTGTCACGGAAGCGGCGAATGGATCAAGCGCAGGAGCTGGCCGCAGTTTGCAGCAAAACAAGGACAGAAAATAACGATGGCGTTTGTCGCGGCGATGGCCTTTGCTCTCTTATCATAGATCCCGGCTGGCGTGTTTTTTTGCAACCCCTCACATCAGCCGATAGTTTCCGCAACATAGATCAGTTCATAGAAGGGGAGAGGGCAAAGGGTAAGGTCATTTTCCCTTCGCGCGAGCTAATTTTTTCTGCCTTCAACAGCACACCACTGGACAAGCTTAAGGTGGTATTACTAGGGCAAGACCCATATCACAACCTTAATCAAGCGCATGGGTTGTGCTTTTCGGTACTCCCCGGTGTTCGCCCACCGCCGAGTTTGCTGAACATGTTCAAGGAACTTACCACAGATATACCTGGATTTAAGGCACCTCCACACGGCTACCTGCAACGCTGGGCAGAGCAAGGCGTGTTAATGCTCAACGCGACGCTCACTGTAGAGGCACACAAGGCGAACTCTCATGCAAGGTGTGGTTGGCAGGCCTTCACCGATGGCGTTATTCGTTTGCTTTCCGAGAAGCACAACCGATCAATTGTGTTTCTCCTTTGGGGTGGTTTTGCACGGAAAAAGATTGCATTGATTGACCGGAAGCGGCATCTTGTTATTGAAAACGCCCATCCGTCTCCGCTTAGTGCAGCGAAATGGTGGGGTTGTCGACCCTTTTCGAAGTGCAATGCAGCCCTGGCGCAGCTGGGGCATTCCCCCATCGACTGGAACCTTCCCATGGTGGTGGACAGGCGGGTTTAGTGGAGAGGAGACGGGGCAAATGAACATGCAGGAGATTCTGTGTCTTGTTTATTGTTATGGCGCCTTTGTTGTTATTATTGTTGTTTGTCGTTTTTTTTTTTTTTCGGAGCCTCCGTTTTTTTTCTTTTTTTTTTTGTCAACCGTCATTTGTGGGGTCGCGCCGCCAACCAGCAGGAACGAGGCAGAGGAGGAAGGCGCTCTTTGCTTTTTTACTCTCCACACCGGAGCCACGGAACAAAGGAAAAGAAGAAACAACAACAGCAACTACTACGGGCCGGCGGTAAACACGAGGGCCTGGATAGGTGTGCTTCTGTCATGAAATCAACTGTCCGGGCCGCGGCGGAGTACCCTGTCGTGGATGACGGGCTGATGCAGAAGAAAATAGAATTGAATAACATCCTGCCTCCAAAAATTGAGGACGTTGACTTTGACACCTTTCAGCGCACAGTGCAGCTGCAACAAGAGCAGGGCATGCCGCCCCCGCCGCGCCCCATCCTCAAGCGAATTCCGGAATCCACTGATGACTTTTTGCGCAATTTCTTTTTGCGAAACGGTATGTACCGCACCATGGAGGCATTTGAGATTGAGTGGTACGAAAAGTACGGCTCAAAGCCACTCTCGGACGCTCCAGTGTTTGCGGACAACTATCTTGAGACGGCGGCGTTGCAGGACCGCATTGATATATTGGAGCATCAGCTTCGTCAGCACGCTGAGTTGACGGCAAAAACGACAAAACTATTTTTACAGGCAAAAAAGGAGCGGGACTATCATCGTGCCAACCACAATCGTGTGGTGCAGGAGAAGAACAGGGTTTCGAAGCTTCTTCGTCAGGCACAGAATCATGCGGAGGATGTTAACCCAACACTAAATGAGCTTCGTCAGAAGTGTGAAACTTTACACAAAGGAAAAGTATTGCTTTCTATAGAGAGGGACAAGCTGGATGCTAAGGTTTCCAGGCTTGAGAAACAGTTGGAAAACATGGAATTGCGGCTGAAATCGGACGAGGAACAGGGTGGAGAAGGTCGCTCCAAATCAACAGAGGCCGTATCTAAACTAAAGGAGGGACCTTCTGCCAAAGCCACGGATGCAAAGTCACATGCAAGGAAACCTGGTTCTCAAGCTGCTCGTGGGACAGACAGTGTGTCAGATGGATTTCGCTGGCCTGCCGATGAGCGACCAGGCCCTAACCGTGCAGACAACACCTGTTCCGTTTTAAGTGACCCATTTACATGGGTTTGTCAATCAATGTTTAAAGCGCATTCCATGCCTGTGACACAAGTTTCCATGCACCCTGAGAAGCCCGCGGTTGCCAGCTCCAGTGATGATGGTACCTGGCGGCTCTCTACGTTACCACAAGGTGAAGTTGTGATGTCTGGTGATGGCCACAAGAGTTGGATCTCATCTGTGGCGATGCATCCAACTGGGACCATGGTGGCCACTGCATCCGGCGACAAGACCGTGAAATTGTGGGACTTTGCCACGAACAGTTGCAGGTTGACGCTTAAAGGTCACTGTGACAGTGTATGGTGTTTAGATTTTCAGGAAACTGGTCTTCTTTTGGCCAGTGGGGCACTTGACCAAACGGCCCGCATTTGGGATGCCACAACAGGTAAATGTCGTCAAACACTGCGGGGGCACGTGGACACCGTGAATGCAGTGGTGTGGAAGCCATTTACCAATACTCTTTGTACAGGTAGTGGAGACAAGACCGTTTCCTTGTGGGATTGCCGTATGAACTGTTGCGCACAGACGTTGTATGGTCATCGTAACATAGTTCGGTCTGTGGCGGTAGTTGGCCCAACGGAGGCCTTGGCATCCTGTGACGCGGATGGCGTTGTAGTACTCTGGGACATACGTCGCATGGAGCAACAACTAACCGTCGCTTGCGGACCGTATGCCGCAAATCATGTGGCCTCCGATGTGACCGGCACGTACCTCGTCGTTGCCAGTGATGATACCACCATGAAGATTATTGATATTTCAAATTCTAGCGTGGGTGAACTTGCCGGGCATGAAGATGGCGTTCAGTGTGCCATGTTTGATCCGTCAACCAACAATTTCATCGTCAGCGGCTGCAGCGATGGGACAATAGGCTACTGGTGTTGAACAGGGAACGACAGAGGGGGGGGGGGAATGGCTCACATGGGGCCAGACGCCCAGAAAGGGACCTGAGTAGAATTCCAAGGAGTGTGCGGGAACGAAGAGGCAAAACCGTATTTATTTCTTTCTCTCTCTCTCTCCTCTCATTGCCAGAAAAAAAGAGCCGAAATGGGCACTAAAGGACAAAACAAACACAAGCAAAAAGTGCGGCAAAAAAATATATAGAAGCAGAGGGTACTCCAGGACTTGCTAAATGTAGAGTGAGGCACCCGAAGTGTTTTTGCACACCTTACGCAGTTTATGTGCGGTTTTTATGTACATAAGGCATTTCTTTTGTTTTCTCTTCTTCACACGTGTCGTGGATGTCCGCAAGAAGCGGAGAAAAAAATGAAATGAATTCATTGCAGGTATGAGGGACACAGTAACAACAGGAATATGAATTGAAAATAACGCAACATTAACAACAGTGGAGGAACTAACAACAACAACAAAAAGATCTTTTTTTTTTTTGCATGTTTTGTCTACCTGTTTTTCTTATTCCAACTTTTATTATTATTGACTGGAGTTGCATTAGGCATTTCGTCCACAACAATTGGGAGCCGATTGGTCGGCGGTACTGTTTTGCGGACTGGAGGAGTTGATACTGTCACACGCCATGACTGTCGTGCGGGTGTCACTCACGCACTCGTCGAGTGGAATGCGTGTTCCTGAGAAGCGCTACGATCTTTCACAGACGATTGCGAGCGTTAAGGCAAATATTGCCACGCACTTTGCCACACCTCCAGATCAAATGCATTTGCAGCTTCTTGACGACCGTGGTGTCAAGGTGGAGTCAAACATGGCAGATGACAAGCAGCTGGGGTATTACCAATGCAGGGATGATTTTGTCATTCATGTGGTGGACATTCGGCCGACGCAGCAAATAGCAAACTTTGAGGATCTCTCTCAGGTGGAAAAGTATGAAATATCAGAGGAGGCATACAGTAAGCGGGAGGATAACGCCCGGGCTTTTCGCCAACTCATGATGGCGCGACAGCGTGAGGAAGCGGAACGGGCGGGTATTTCTACTGCAAAGGAACAGGACGCAGACAGCTACAAGGAAAAGGCGGATGCAATCCACGTCGATGATCGTTGTCAATGCCAGCCTGGAGACCGCCTGGGAACGGTTCGCTTTGTTGGCCGTGTTGCAACGCTGAAGCCAGGTTATTGGATTGGTGTTGAGTTTGATGAGCCTGTGGGGAAAGGCGACGGCTGTGCTAAGGGGACGCGTGTGTTTCAGTGCCAACCGAACTATGGCGGGTTTTTACGCCCCGACCAGGTGACTGTGGGGGATTTTCCACCAGAGGAATTTTAGTGTTTGAGGTCGTTTATTATTCGAATTATTATTATTAATCCAAAAAAAGGATACAATGTGAGTGTTATTGTTATGACTTTTGTTCTTTTCCGGTCCTTCACATTAGTGTTCTCATATTTAACTTTTACATAGACATTTTTTCCTTTTTATGGTTGTTGTTGACGTTTTGCACTTTGGTCGTTTGTGTGTCTGTGTGGAAGACTTCTGTCGTCCCATTGCAAATACGTAAATGAAATAAAGCTTGCAGTCTTTTGTTGTTTGCAACATCTCTCTTACCGACCAGTGATCAGGAGAACCTTAGCAGAAGAAATCTTTACAGCTAGGGCCATAATGGAAAGTAAGTAGTAAGATTCAGTTGATCTGCAGCTCACACATACACAAGGATTGCAGCTTCTCTTTTTCCTCAACCCACACTGTGTGTGTGGGTGGTTGAGGGAAATGTGAGAATTGTAGCTTAGTGCAATTGCTTGGTGGCATGGGTCGAGGCTATTGTGACGCAACGCATGTACAAGTACCGTCTAATTCGCCGGGAGGTTGTCCCTCGGAGGAATAAGACGGTGACGAGGACTGTGATGCTTGTGTGGGGCTCACCGACGCGTACAGCATCGATACAAAGTTTGTTTTCCCGGATCTCGGGAAGGGTGGGTCCGAGGAGGGTACTGGTGCAGAGCTCTCAACACCCGCCACAGATTCTTTTTTCATACGGTACCGTTCAATGGATGCCATACGCGCATCGAGGTGGAACGGGGCGGCTGAACCTCCAAGAAGGGTATCCTGCAATAGTTCTTTACTCAGGCGTGTAACCTGCTTAGACCAAGGCCGATCATTTAGGCTCATGTACGGTAAGGGAGAGATTTACCACCTGATTTTGGCGAATATGGATTCAGTGACTCATCTGCACTGGTTTCTTATTTCATTTTCTCAGCATCACTCTCCACGGAAACATTACAGAACACTGCACACGTTTCCACTGCGCGCCCCCCTCCTGCGATGGAGCTGGTGGCGAAAATAGCGAAGTACTTGCAGCCTTAAGACTCCCCAGCAGTGATGCAGTGCCCCTGCAATACAGTTTGAGCGCGTTCTCCTGCGCATACGAAGGAGGGAATAACATTAGCAATGACGCGTGTGTGCTGGACATCACTGACGTTAAGCTACTGGTCCCCACTAAGACCGTCTTGCAATTCCATCTCGGATGACTCTCTATCAGCCTAACTACGACTATTGAGACGTCGTGTGAAGGCAGTCCTTTTATCATTGAAAACAGTTACTGGTACTACGTTTGGTATTACTGTTACCTTTGTTTTTTCATTTGTTGATGACCCTTGCGGTTTGTGTCCGTGAATGGGTCCTGCTTAGGGGTGACACGTTTTTGCCTTTATGCTGTTTGTGCCTTTGAGTCTCGCCCTGTTTTCCTCTCTGTGGTGTTACTGGGTGAGGAAGCATCAAGTTTGGATGCTGTCTTAAGCAAGGATAGGGGTGGGGGTGGGGGGATGGTACACCCACATATGTACACCTACGCAAAGCAACAGATAATAATAAAAAGTAGTTAGAAAAAAGTAATAC